AATCGTTTAATCACTTGCAGCAGAAAAATAATTGTAGTGTACAACACCATCTGCTTTAAACATCGGAAGATTTGCCTCTATCGTTAAAGTTATTTGAAACATAAGGAAAACATATATTTTACCATATAAACGTTCCCAGCTATATATATCAGTAAATACAACGTTGTGTCATTCACATGTATTCATGCCTCCATTGTTCGTGTATACAATCAAGAGTTGTATGCAAATTACAAGCCTTAGAAGATGTCTAAAAACCAGGAAAGTTCCACCTGATGGTTATAAATCGATTTCAAGTGATACAATCCCTCGATCAATTGAGCAGCAAAGATTAGGCTTTTTTTTATATTTTTGTTGTTACATTAATACTTTGGTGAACTTTTAAATGTAGTTTTAGTCTACCAATGAAGGCACATTATTTTTAACACTCATTGGAAATAGAAATCCCCCATAACTTGTAGTGCAGGGATTTTCAACCTTGCTCACTCCTTACACCCCTTTCACCATTTTGTCAGAATGTCATTACTCACCGCTCTCCTCCACCTCTAAACTTACTGTGATCACAATTCATCCCTGAAAAAAAATCCAAAATTCACCCCCTGGGAGTGAATTTCACCCCCGTTGAGAACGCCTGGTGTAGGGAATTACGAATCTCTGTATATGTCATTCTTGAGGTTCCTTTATAGATATAGAGAGATTTAGTCGGTATTTCTGCAACTCAAGAAGAACTAGATTCGGAATCATTTTCCTTTATGCCCCTTGTACCTTCAGGACGCTGACGATCATGGCTCTCCACAATTTCCTGTCCTTTGTCGTTCTTAATATATGTTGTCGTTTTCTTATCTCTCTAAAACCCTGTTTTGCCATCCATTTACTCGAGCTCACTGGGTAGGTTATGCGTTGTTTTCCTCTGTCCCTCATGTCTTAGTTCTGTCCTCTGAATATCAGAGTTTTCAAGCCCTCTTTACTTGTTAAGTTACCTAGCTCTATCTCCCTGATGTTAAATATGTTTCGTTTTTGTTTCCATTTTCTATAAATCTTCGTCGTTGCTCACATGTCCGGTCCACTGTATTCTCAGCACCCCGTTCTGTAGAACCACGTCTTTACACGCAAGCCGCTAGCGGACCGCTGGAGGTGCCGCCGGTGGCCACGCCAGCGGTCCTCTGGTAACATTGCCGAGACGGACAGGCTGGCAGTCCGACAGCAGGTCACCAGCGGTAAACACTAGTGGACTGACACCCAGTGGCAGATTGGTGGCTTGCGTGTAGGCATTTTTGTCGCCCCAAAATCTCTTCTTCATCTGTGATGAGATGATCCAGAATTCACTGGCATAAAGGAGGACTGATATTAGGCCACAGTTCTGTACTCTTTTCTTTGTTTCTAACGAGATTTTTCTTTTTCTTATTGTTTTGCTTAGCTTTTGAAAAGCATCTTTCGGTATGATGATAAAAAAAAAACGAGTTTATTAGGAATAGTGAAAACGAAGAAAATAGAATAGGATAGCTTTCAACAATTCAACCTAAACATAATCTGCTGGGAAGATGTAATATTTGCAGTTTGTCGAATTCAAAGTGAATTCCTTATGATGAATTGTTCGAACTTATAGATATTTAGTAAAATCATCTTTTAGTGTCGAATTGAACGAATCTTTTCATTCAATATATTTTACTGCAGTATCTCTTTGCATTTTAGTGACGTTATCGCCACTAAGCAGTAAACAGTAGGATAGACTGGTCTCTATAGGTTTGGGAGGCAATCAGTCTAAGAGAAAGAACACTCTGGATTCCAAATTGTGGAGAAAGTAACGGGAAACCACTATATTCTCTTTACTATGAAATTATTCATTCAATATTTTCATATGGCTGTCATGTCTGGCACCAACTTCGTTCAGAAGTGTCTAACCGTTCAGCTCTATAGAAGCGCTTTTACAGATTAGTGGTTATAAATGGTTTCAAGCGAATTAAATCTGTATGTCTTAAAGAGGACGATCCTTTTTTCAACCTTGTGGAATGGCACTACAGAATTTCAAAGAACCGTACCAAATAAGAGAAACCACATCACTTGGGGGCTTTCAACAACTCTAACAAATAAAACGGAAAACTCGAAGAAAAAATGTAATTCGAAGCGAAAATGACGACATAATGAAGATGTTGATATTCCACACTATTTCAAACAAAAAGTTAGGAAGGAAAGCTTCATTAATAATGAAAAGAAAGTTAACAGCTGGTGCATATCAGAAACATATTTGCCGGGAAAATATTCTTAAGAGAATGATTTTATAAATTTCAAACAAAAGTAGCTTCGGCTGCTCGGTCTACGAATGTTTCCTTATAAGGGACCGGTTAATATTATAATTACCAGGACCGTGGCAATTCAGAGAAAATAAAAACAAGATGTGGATAATTATGTCGTCCTACGTCCTGAATTTAATACAGTAGCCATGTTCTAAGAAGTTAGCATAGTATGGCATAAGGCCACATATCTGTAACTTTCAATAAGGATCGAACTTACTACAGTAAGTTTACGACCGCATCACGTTGAAACACCTAACGATCACCGAAGTTAATCAACGTCCGGCCTGGTCATACCTAGATGGGTGACTGCTTGGGAATATCAGGTGCTGTAAGCATGGATGTGTGGGTGGTGTAATGGATAATGGTTTTATTAATCGAAGAGCCGAGTTCGAATTCCGGTTGGGTTGGTTATATTCATGTACACACAAATACTCTTTGGAAAGGCATGAACCTCTTCTCCACCCAGTTATGTTTTAATTAGTAAGACTTGTATCGCTAAACCATTAGTATCTAAAAAAAATAAGACTTATAACTTTGCTTCTTGAATAAATACATAAAATGTCCATGCTATCAATATAGACTACATGAATATTTAGTTCTTCGTGTTAAAACAAATCCGACGCTAAAATGGGAAAGGTGTGAATCCTCTTCTTCTCCCTCCAGCTATGGGTAAATAGCAGGACAAACTGGGTTCTATAGCCTTGGATGGCAATTGGTCTAGGAGAAGGAAAACTCTGAATTCAAAACCTGCAGAGGGTCGTTTGGGGACCTTGTGGTACGTAGTGCACCAGGTCTTTGAATTCGGCCCTTCAAAAAGTGTGGCTGGTTCTGCACGAAACCTTCACCACTATAATCAAATCTCATGTGCAATACATGCGTGTTTGGGGACCGCTTGTGCATTCCAAATTCCCATGAAACTCCAATAGTGGAGCTGGCTCAACCCACCTGGGGTGAATGCGGTTACAAGTACAAGAAGGAGAATATCGAAAGAGACCTCAAAGCCGAAGTTTTGCTTTTATGATAAAATACACAGTTTAGCTGAAAGGTGGCGTAAGGTCAGAGGGCAAAAGGAAAAGAATTAACTGAGCAACGATGCTATGAATGTACAGGCTTTAAATCCTTTGACAAACATTTTCTGGAAACAGTTATATCAAACTTATGCAAAAGGTATAGAAAAAAGATTGAGAAAGAAAGAGATAAAGAAAGAGATAAAGAAAGAAACAAGCAAACAAAGACAAGAAAACAAAAGACAAAGAAAAAAGGAAGGAAAGATAAAAGGAAAAAAATGAGAAAGAAATATAGAAAGAAAGAAGGAGACAAAAAGAAAAAAAGAAAGAAACAAGCAAAGACAACTAGAAAAAAAGACAGAAAGAAAAAAAGGAAAGAAAGAAAGAAAGAAAGAAAGAAAGAAGGAAAGATAAAAATAAAGAAACAAGCAAGAAAAAGAGAAATAAATATAGAAAGAAAAAATGAAGAGACAAAGAAAAAAGAAAGAAACAGAGAACGAAAGATAGAGAGAAAGAGATAAAGAGAAATGAACAAAGAAAGAAAAAAGAAAGACAGATAGGAAGAGATAAAAACAAAAAGAAACTGCACTGGAAGAAAGAAAAAAGAAAGAAAAAAAGAAGAAGAAAGAAAGAAAGAAAGAAAGCTTTATTTCTTTGCAATGATAACACAACATTGCAAAGAAATAAAGCTTTCTTTCTTTCTTCTTTTTTCTCTGTTTTTCTCTATTTGTGAAACAAGCAAAGACAACTAGAAAAAAGACAGAAAGAAAAAGAAAGAAAGAAGGAAAGATAAAAATAAAGAAGCAAGCAAGAAAAAGAGAAATAAATATAGAAAGAAAAAAAATGAAGAGACAAAGAAGAAGAGAACGAAAGACAGAGAGAAAGAGAGAAAGAGAAATGGACAAAGAAAGAAAAAAGAAAGACAAATAGAGATAAAAACAAAAAGAAACTGCCTTGGAAGAAAGAAAAAAGAAAGGAAAAATGAAGAAAGAAAGAAACTGCCTTGGAAGAAAGAAAAAAGAAAGGAAAAAAAGAAGAAAGAAAGAAACTGCCTTGGAAGAAAGAAAAAAGAAAGGAAAAAAAGAAGAAAGAAAGAAACTGCCTTGGAAGAAAGAAAAAAGAAAGAAAAAAAGAAGAAGAAAGAAAGAAAGCTTTATTTCTTTGCAATGGTAACACAACGACTTGCGTGAAAGTCAACGCTTCATGGAAGACGCGCGCAGAAAAAAAATGGAATTACAGATAAATAATAATTCTAACAACTAAAGAAATCAAAGTTAAAAATGTTCTTTCCAATAAAAACAAAAAATTCAAAAATCAAGGAACAGAAGTTTCAGTTGGTCAACTTCCTTCTTCAGAGCTGTTTAGTTAATTACAAGAGACATGTTTCAAATATATTTGCAGCAGAACACCGTGAAGGGCCAAAGGAACGCCTCGTAAAAGTCGGGACAGGAGACTGTCCTCTTGCTTATGATTTCCCAGATTTCTTTTCTTTTCTCTTTTATTTATCTTTTATTATTTTTTCATCTTCAAGACATTCTTATTCCCAGACTTGCATTCTCCTTGCACGTTGAAAAAAAACACGTGTTCATTTATTGGAAGAGACATTTTCGTAACCACACATAATATATATATATATATATATATATATATATATATATATATATATATATATATATATATATATATATATATATATATATATATATATAGTGTGTGTGTCAAAAGTTAATAAAGTAAGAATAAAAAATACAGATGAAAAAAGACTGTAAAATGAAACATTAAAAGAATTTCACGTCTTCGATTGAACTCAGAAAAAAAACAATGTCAACAAAAACAGTACTGGGAAGTCGCGTATATTTCAATTTTACAGTCGGCCATATTTATCATAATTGAGTTTGGTGCTTTCATGAGACGTGTTTGGACTGCATGCATTTTATCATTTCTTCTTTGTTCCTACCTTATTTTTTTTTCTTGCACGATTCTTTGTTTACCTACCATGCTTACCTCACCTTTTTCTCTCCAAATTTGATGTCTTCACATCCCCACGCCCAATTGCGAGCCAACTTGTATGGCCCCTGAGTTTTCCAGGATTAGACAAAGGGAAAAAGGTAAGAATCTCAAACACTGACTGAGATGACGACGCGGAAAGAGAGTTGAATGAATATTTGTACAATAAAAAGAAATTTAGGTATATTACATTTTTTTATATTCTCTACAAGTCTACTTACGAAATCCCAAAGCCACAATCTAAATTTCCAGATACTCTTTTTCTATAGTCTCTTCATACGAAATCTCATCTTTCAAAAATACTTCTTTAAAAATCCCAGCCACCAAATTCCAAAATATTGCTAATAGCTATAATATAACTAACGCCTCATCTATATATAAAATTCTGTGACTTCCGCTAGTCCGTCCGTCCGTCTAAATTAACCATGCATTGACCGATCAAAACCAAAATTTGGGGAGAAGTGCAAACAGGTAAGGGGGGGGGGGAGTACAAATTACACTTGATTTTACTTGGGTGCGTAACTTAGTACAATAAATTTTCATTAATTTGCTTTGAAAAATTGAATGTTTTATTATTTAACATACAAAATTCTCCCACTATTTTAAAACAATTTAATAATTAAAATAACAAATACTTATTCAATAATGATACAATATCGTTTTTCTGCATGTCTTTTCTTTAAGTTTTATATATACAAGAATCCAGTTTCCAGTTTGCCCTGCACTTTAGAGAATTATAGACAAATCCCAAGGCCAAACCATTCAAAAAGTTAGAATTCGGCTCCAGAAAAAATATTTACGCATGACCAGTTGAATGTTGAATGCTCAAGAGTAAGAAATCCTAAGAATTTATACTTTGCTGTTAAAAAAGAAAAAAAGAAATTTTCTTAAAAAATATTGTTTATCATGAAGTCATATAAAATTAAATTAAATTAAAGAAATTATTAAACAGCAAAGTACAGTTTTTGTCAAAGTAAATTTGTCAAAGAAATTTTCTTAAAAATATTGTTTACTATGAAGTCCTATAAACTTAAATTAAATTAAAGAAATTATTAAACCGCAAAGTAAAGTTTTTGTCAAAGTATTTCCCAAACAAATCAACTTATTTAAATTTCATCGATTGATTTGTGAAATTGAACGAAACGTAGTGTTTGTAAATCTCGGCAAAAAATGTTAGTGATAACTTCAACAATACTAAATCCTGTGAGGAGTTCAATACGCGTCAGCTTGTTGCAAAAGAATTCTATTATTTAAAACAGAGGGAGAGATTTCAATTCTTGACAAGCGACAGGATCATTTGAAAGCTTGAAAGATCAGTAAACACATATTAACTTTGGGCATTTCCTTTATAATCTCAATCCTGACAAACGGAAATGAATACGGTAATTAGTGAAAATTATTTTAAAATATTAGAGGCACAACCTATTTCATCTTATTAAAAAATAAATACGTGCGTAATGACTTTCTAAGCGCTGATTAGATGTAGTACGAGGGCGAAAGTATGGGGTACCCAATGAGGATCGATCTCACTACACAGTCGTAATTAAGCTATCAAGACAAGCTTTCTAACCATTACACCACGGTGAGTTACCGAATATGAATATGTGTGTATGTGTATAGATGTTAGGAAGCAAACTCTCTTTGATGCAGATTTGATTAAAGAAATAAACATTTTTAAATTTTATTAAAATCGTTGTCTATTGTCTCTAATGAACCTTATTTATCTACGCACATATATGTTTGTAATATTAATTATATATATATATATATATACAGTGTAACCCGGATATAAGAGACCCGGATATAAGAGAAACCCGGATATAAGAGAGATTTTCTCTGGTCCCAAATTAGAGCCTGTGTTAATGTATATAAAATAGACCAAACCCGGATATAAGAGACTTCTTCTCCGGTCCCGACAACTCTCTTATATCCGGGTTACACTATATATATATATATATATATATATATATATATATATATATATATATATATATATATATATATATATATATATATATATAAAGAAAATGAACCTTATGAACCTCAAGTTTGCATCTTCATGCAGAAAATTTAAAATTCAGAATTGTCCTTCTCCTAGACCATTCGCCACCCAAGGCTATAGGACCCAGTCTACCCTGCTATTTCCCCACAGCTGGTGGGGGGGGGGAAGAAGAAGCGATGGATTCAAACCTTTCCAAATCTAATTGCATTATCACCTAAGTGAATGTAACGAACTCCACTGGAATTCGAACTCGGCTCTCCTTTTCCTCAATCCGAGCTGTTATCCATTACTCCAATATATATGTGTATGTGTATATGCGTGTGAGCTCAGTTTGAATATGGGAAATTAGGCATAGAAATGGCTGTTACATTTTGTGTTTTCTCCAAAGACTCAATAAACAATTCGAGGAAAATATTTCGTATGGTCCGTCTTTCCAAAGAATGATGTGGCGCGAACATTATTCTTTCTTTGATTTTCTTTCATCCGGACGAGAACGCATACTGTGAGCCTTTCAAGGGGCTTCCCGTCATGTCCATTCTTGATTTTATCATCACCTTAAGTGGGTTGTTATTAGATTTTCGCTTTCTTTTGGTCTCAACCGAGACTCAAACGAAGAAATACTCAGTTTCAATTAGTCCCCACAGGAACTCATCATTACAACCAATCTTAGATCAGAGACGTATGATTTAACGTTTCTTTGTGAACTCAATTTATTTATTTAATGTTATTTACTTATTTTGTACATCTGTAAGCGTCTCTCTGTCTGCTCTTTCGTACTCTCTCCATTTTCTATTTTACTTCCCCATCTCTCCTCCTTCCTCTTCTCTCTCCTCTTTTTTCGATTTTCCCTTAGAATGTTTTCTGAGATATCTTCTCTCCTGTAAAGGTTAAGAAACGACATTCAGAATAGAAGACATTTCGGTAAATTTCAATGCCTTTTGGAATTTGAACTATAAAACTTGTTTTTCTTCGGGTAGACAAGACTTTTAAAATTTGAAATCAATTACAGCGTTTTCTGTTCAAGCGGCCTTCACAAATAACTGACCAATGACAAGAGTATCCGTTCCAAAATGCTTTGATCGCAGTCATTTAAGACATGTCACAATTCCAAACAAATTGCATTTAATCTGTCTTCATATGCATGTGCAGAGATGGAAGCTGTTTGCGCCATTTGTATTCTGATCAGTTCTTTCGGCAAATAATGAGTCTGATCAGTTCAAGCGGAATTAATAAGTCGCGGTAGTTTTTAATTTATTAACCATATCACCAACAGTGGCTTGATCCTGTAAATATTAACTTAGCTATGTCAGGCATAATGATGGGGCCACACAGTGACGCACGAATTCATTACAGCAACATCGTTGATTGAGACTGGATTATAGATTATTAATAGTCTACAGACACCAAATAGATATTGAGTCATTTTGGTTCGTTCCCAGTACGGTTTGGTACAAACGAAAGACTCAAAATGACATGCACTGTGTGGCTACTTTACCCTATTTAAACGTTTCACAGCATTAGTCTTTTTTTTTTCAGTCAAATCTGAAAAAATCGATCATTTCACTAATCTGGAACCTAAGATAGAAAAGACTGACCGAAAAAAAAAAGAAATACAGTATCTGGATTCTCCAAGATCAAAGTTATGTTAATATTTAACCCCGAAATAACACAACAAAGGAAATCCATGAAAGAATATCTCCCACTGCGTAAGATACGAATAGAAATCCCACAAACCTCTTTATTTTTAATTCTGTGTTGTTTTATCCGGCGGTTGTAGAGTGTACTGATCGTGAATGTTGTAATAAAAATCAAACACAGTAGCAATGTCTGAAATAGCGCAAGAAATCGTCGTATAGAAAGTTCTATATTGCAAAGAATTAGTCATAAAATAACAGGAATAATGAAGCGAGTATTGAGCCAAAATGTTGTGATAAAAAGCAAAAATAAGATGAATTAAAACAAGTAATGAAGTAATGGTAGTAATGAAGAGAGTTGAGATAAAAAGCAACAGTAATAATAAAGAATGAACACTAGTCATGTATCGAACGATACATGATCGCCTAAGCGTGTATCAAGCATGACACGTAACTGACTGACTGAATAATGATGAGTCTATTGACTCTTGGTTGGGATAAAAAGCAACAATAATA